CTCGATATTAGCACACAAATACAAGGACGAAATGAGAGTTTAAACCAATATATTATTTAGATTATTTTTATATTTTTAAATGAGGGTTTAAACCAATATATTATTTAGATTATTTTTATATTTTTAATTTAATCTCGCTTGACCAAACGTTATCTTTTATTACGTAATTAATTAATAGTTTATTTTTTCTATTTTTTGTGCATACTAATATAAGTGTTTTTCATAAAAATATATAAAATTATTGGTGCAGTTTTTATGTAATAACTTTCGTTTTTTATGTAGTATTTATTTTCGAATTTGTTAATAGTTGATGTTTATTACACTTACATGATTACAAGTTAAGAGAATATGAAAAAAAAAAAATCTTTATTTTTTGTTTATAAAGTGATTTTTTTTATTGTGAAAGAGAGAGTAGTATAAAGACTTATTTTATAAATTTAAAGGAAAAGTAATTTAATGATAAATAAAATATATAATATAAATTTATTTTATTTTATTTTTAAAAATACTTTATCTCTCGAGAAGTTATATTTTTGTTTCTTCATTTATCTAATTAAATTATACAATATAAGTTATGATAAAATTTATAGCAATACGATGGAATCAAATTTTGGTTTTGATTAAGTTTTCCTCCTTTCCTCGTATCTTAGCTTTTTTTTTCGGTATTATTTTTTTATGTCACATTATTTGAGCTCAAAAAAATAATATTTATTATCTAATAATTGTTAAGCTAAAAAAATGAATATATGTTGTTAAGATAAGATTATCTAAAAAACTATTAGTAACTTATGTTTTGAGGTTTAATATTTTTACCAGGGAATGTCCAACTACTCTAACAAACCATCTGATCGTTGGTGTTCCACCTTTGCCTTCTGGCATACCAGGTAAGAAGCTACAAACTCAGCCATGTCTTTCCTCATCTCTCTACCAAAAAGATTCCTTCAAATCTTTATACATTTTGGTCGTCTTCGAATGTATAGTGAGACTACTCTTGTGACCCTCTTCTAATATCAGTATTCTCAACTTAGCTTTATTCGGAACACAAAATCTTCCCCGAAAACGAAGAATACTATTACTTCCCAAAGCAAAGTCATTGGCCTGCTCATACCAAACAACACATTGCAGCTCAAGATCACTTCTTGTTCTGCCTTCACTTGCTCTAAAAATTCACTCGTGATTGACATATTACTACACTAGATAAACCCTTGGCCCAACTGCACTCCAAGGTTCATGTCTCGCAACTTTTCAATCAACTCCAACTCCTTGATCATCTTTACAGACATTTGCACCCACTTTCTGCTCAAAGCATCTGCCTCAACGTTTTCTTTTCCTAGATGGTATTGTAGCTCAAAGTCATAGTCTTTCATATACTCCATCCACATTTGCTTACACATGTTTAACTCCTTCTGGTCAAACGGGTATTTTAGACTCTTGTGGTCGCTGAAAACTTAAAATCTCACTCCATAAAGGTAATGTCACTTTTAAACTGGTTTTGGTCGTGCAAAATCAAAACAAACTAAGTTTCCCCACTAATTAAGTATAGGGATAACCTAGGTATCAATCCTTGGACTCAGTACAATTAAGTTCAAAGTGTTTGGTTAATTCTTGCTTTTATTTTCTATTTACTAATTAAAAGACAAGGTGGGAAAATTAAAAGTAATGAAATGAAAAATAAAAGAATTAAAAACAAAATCTGTTTAAGGAAAGAATATGAAATAAAAGGAAAATAAAAGAAAGTAGAAATCTAAACTTCTTAAGACAGAAACAACAACATGTCCTAAGCTAATATGAAAATTTAAATGCATCTAAAATGATCCTAAACTAATGAACATTGTTATACAACCTATTAACAAAACCTAAAAACTATAAATGAAAAATCTAAATGATGCAACTAAACATACAAACGAGCAGTACGCATATGCTACACTACAATATGAATCTGAAATACATTGAACCATGCTAAACTCTCAAGAAATCAGAAATGAAATCAATCAGAATAAAGCAATACCAAAAATTAAACCTAACCTAGTCTAACCATCATCAAAAAGCAAATGAGAACAGAATTTAGAATTGAAACAAAGCAAAATCAGTACCTAAATTCTAACTAATCAAAAGCAAGATAGTAATCTCAAAGAAGAATTGAATTCACAGGTAAATGCACATTGATGTGAATAAAAGAGTTCTTAGAGTTCTAAAGAAGACATCATGTTATGTGAATCCCACTCTAGGGTATTCTGGTTCATATTTCATAACCTAATTTGACTCTTTCCACTCATTTGTCCAACCAATGTTCATTTTCCTATTCATCAATCTAAAATTCACAAACAGAATTTAAATGCGCAAACGATTGAGGATAACGTTTTAATTACACTCAGAAAGACATTCTGACTAAAGTAAGCCCATCACAGGGTCTTATAGTTCATATTTTAGAACTTACAATGGCAATTTCTACTCATTCTCAATCAATGCAAATCTAAATCTGATATACACTACAAAGAAAAGAATAGAAACATAAATCTGGATGAATCTTTATGCATTGGACTCATCTCTAACTCGAGAAGACATCTCGATAAAGAATTCTCATTGTGGAGTCATTTAATTCCAAAAGAAATCATAGAAATGCAGAGTGACAAAGTCCAAATAATTTTCAATGAAAAACAAAAAACACAATCACACAAGAACACAAAAAAAATCAAAATAACATAATCATATAACACTCGACAAATAGAAACATCAAGAAAGAACATATTATTAATGTGAAACACATAGTACAAGAAAAAAGTACTGAAAAAAAACACGCAATCGAAGCCACCATGGGTTGTCACCACCGTGAGTGTTCGCTCCAATAGCTTTGAGAAACGAAAACCTACTCTATGGAAAGCGTATAAACCCTAAGCTAAAAAAAAATGTAAAAATAATGATATTTGTTCGTGTGTACATTTACATGGAAGAAACCCCTTTATATAGGGTCAAAGAAGAAAAGAAAAGGAATAGGGAAAGAAACTTGCCCTAGACGCTTTAATCTTCTCTTCATCGGACGGTTCTGCCTTCTTCTCTTCCACTCTTTCTTTCTGAACCCTTCAGCCTTTTCAGTATGTGCCTTTTGGTTCAACTTCAAGTGCTCCGGTCAGCTTTACTTCTCCGAGCAGGATCCACTATACTTGCCTTTGGCTGCCTCGGTCTCTAGGTAAGCACTTCTCGAGCCATGGAGCTCTTCTTTCTTTCGCTTTCTCTAGTGCGTCAAGCCCTAGGTTTTGGGTTCCTTCCAAATGAATTGCTCGAGGTAGAGACCCCTAAGGCAGCAGTTTGGCTTCCACTTCTTACCAAAAAGCACTGCATCACTAAAGTTGGAGCCAACCCATCTGCCCAAAATCCAGTCACAAGCGCCCCAAACAATATCTGCAGCAGTAACAACCCAATTGCCAACAGCTTTTTGCTTCAAACAGCCTCTAAATCTCAATTGTAGAAGTGCGGCACCACAACCCAGCTGAATCCATGGCCCAATTATCCAATCAGCAACAACTTCAAATGTCCAGCATCAGTAACCCAATTCAAGAAAGCAAAAAAAAAAAAAATCAAGGCCCAATTCTTGAAATCAGCTCAATTGCTAAGGCCCTTAGTACAACAAAGAAAATTAATCCAAAATTAAAGAAAGAAAAGAAAATCAAATAAAAGAAAAGAATTTTTATCAAAAGACTTTCTAAAAAAAATATTAATTTTCTAATTATTTAAAAATTCTACAAAATACACCTAAAAACCTATTTTTAACTAAAATTATACAAAACTAAAGAATTTAAAGAAAAACCTAAAACTATCCTAATTCTAGACAATTAAGAACAAAGAAAAGCTAAGAAGGACTCCTAAACACAGAAAAATATGTAAATTTGGAGAGTTATCAGTCACCAAGTCTTCAAGGCAAACATCATTGCTGCCAGCTCTATATCATGCGTCAGATAGTTCCTCTCGTGTATCTTCAATTGACGAGACACATACGCCACCGGTCTTCGGCTTTGCATCAACACACAACCTAAACCTTGATAAGAAGCATCACAGTACACTTCAAGAACTTTATCCATTTCTGGGATGATCAACATTGGCACAGTTGTCAACCTCTTCTTCATCTCTTCAAAACTAGCCTCGCACTGCTTTGTCCACACAAATGGCTGATCTTTTCGAGTCAACTGAGTCAAATGACCCACTATCTTAGAGAATCCTTCGACAAAACTCCGATAATAACCTGTCAAACCAATAAAACTTCTTACTTCGGTCACCGACATAGGACGTTCCCATTTCAACACTGCCTCCACCTTGCCAGGTCAATCGAGATTCCTTGAGTAAAGATCACATTACCAAGAAAATGCACTTTATCTAACCAGAACTAGCACTTTGACAACTTTCCAAACAACTGATGTTCCCTTAGAATCTCCAATGTTTCCTTAGCTGTTCAACATGCTCCTCTCAACTCTTCGAGTATATTAGAATATCATCGATGAATACAACAACAAACTTATTCAAATAAGAACGAAAAATGTGATTCATATAATCTATGAATATTGTTGAAGCATTTGTTACCCCCAAAAGGCATCATCACATACTCATAGTGCCCATAGCGTGAACGAAATGTTGTCTTTTGTGTATCATCAAGCTTGACAAGAACTTGATGATTACCTAACCTCAAATCTATCTTTGAGAACACCCCAACGCCCTTCAACTAATCTAAAAGGTCATCGATCCTCGACAACGGGTACTTGTTCTTTATTGTAACCTTTTTTAGTTAACGATAGTTTATGCACAACCTCAAACTTCCATCCTTCTTCTTCACCAACAACACAGATGCACCTCATGGAGAAAAACTTGGCCTGAAGGTACGAAGCTACTGATATTGGCCCTGCTCTTGGCACCAAGTGTATAACGAAGTACATTGCTCAACTTAGTGGTAACCTTGACACCTCTTCTAGAAACACATATGCAAATTCTTCTACTATAGGTATACCACTGATTTACTCGTCAATACTCTGCTTCTGTTCTTTCTCCATTACTACAAAACATACAACTCCACTCTTGAGATCTTGCAACACTTCTCTCGATGTCGACATCTCTATGCCTTCTGGTTTCTGGAACACTACCTTTTGACATCCGCAGTCGATCAACGCATGGTTATCAGACAACCAATCCATCCCCAAGATCACATCTAAACCCTTAAGTGGCAAACATACCAAGTTGACTTTAGACTTGTGACCTGCCACCTCAATCGGACACCCAACGCAGATTGAACTGGTTAAAACTTGTTCGAATGCTGAACAAGAGACAACTAGCTCGCACCCCAGATCAAACATGAGAAGACCATGGTTCTCCACACACAAAAAGGACACAAACGAGTGCGTTGCTCCCGAATCAAACAACACATACACACCTTTACCAAACAAGAAACAAGTATCCAAAATCAAATTACTTGAATTCTCTACCTCTGCCCCTGACATGGCGAACACCCTACCCATGCTTATGGCTTCCCTCCACTAAATGTCCTCTTCTAAGGGAATCACGAGATATGTGCCACTGGATGTCCAACTTTGACAACTTTCACACATCTTAACCTTTTTATCACCCAATAACGTACCATAAATAAATATTTAATATTATAAAGCACAATAATAAATAAAATATTATTCTAATTAATACAAGTCTTACAACATTTTAATGAAACTTTTAATGGTGATAACATTCTATGAATGCCTTCTTTGTCTCTAACGTCCACTTTTGACTTTTATATGATAGAGCTAGTGGATACTTGACATAGGGAACTACAAATAGTAAAGCATATATGCATGTGGGAAAATTTTTCTTTTTCTTATCACTTTTCTTGTTTTGAAACGTTGTGCATTTAATGCTTTTTAATGTGTTTTCATAACAACTACGTGCTTTTCAAAATTTCTATCGTTCAAATAAGATTTAATCATTTAAGCATTTCAAAGACAATACCAAGTAATTCATAGAGGTGTCATGGTTTGATGAAGATGTTGTTTTGCATCAAGGTATCATTTAGCCTATTCAAGGAATTTACTAACAACGCTACTTTTAGTGATCTTTGTTCAGTTCAAGAGCGCATTTAGGACAATGTTACTCAACACATATTTTTGGAGCAATGTTTATAGCTTTTAATGTGTTTACCAAAAACATCATTTTGCAAGATATAGTGAAAGCTCATTTAGCATTGTTTAGCAATGTATAACAAGACTCTCATATAACAAATTAATGCATTTTGTAAGGATATCGTTTGGTAGTGTCTCTACTAAGGTATTAATACGTTTATTAAAGTTTTTCTTTCAACATTTCGATCTTCACAAAGCTTTTTCATAAGAAGTCTTTTCTTTCAACGATATTGCTTTCACAAAGATAATACTTTGTCAAATGCTCATTTTGTTTATTTCTGTTTGTTAAACTTCAAAACATGAAGACGTTAGACGATTCAATCTTATAGACGATCTTGTCTTAACATCTAATGAAGATGTCTGAAGCCAAGGTCATAAAGGATGTTTTCTAGACAAAACAATTTAAATGCATCTAAAAATCATAAACATCGTCTAAAAGAAACTATCTCTCATTGAATTCATCAAATAGAATATATGAGCAAAAAAGGCTAGCATCTCATGAAAACATAAGTCTATCTCTTGTATAACACTAAGATTAAAAGAAATTTTTATGAGTACAAGTGTTATTTCAAACAAAGCTTTCTAAAGAAAACATCATCTAATAAATCACTGCTAAATACTTTAGCCTTTGAAAAAACAACTAATGTTTATACCTTCTCATGATTATACATGTTATATGTCTTACCAAACGATGCATTTATTAATGAAATGACAAATGATAAAATGTTTTGAACACGCTACATTGTCTAACATTTATCAATATTCAAAACATTTAATGTGTGTGCTATAAAGAACCTCAATGTTTGTATACTTTGTTCTTGGTATTCATGCATATCAATAAAGCATAAATATATGATCAAAATCATGACACCTAAGAAAAAGACGTTATGAGAGAATAAGAACATTCTAGGAATTTTACCTTGAAGCCCTCTGCTCAGTCACATCGTACAAGCTTAGTTTCGCTTAAGGCTATGAGAAAAAAGCTTTGTACCCTACAAAGTATACTAAAGTCTAACTTCTTATCAAAAGACTACTCTCTTGAACTTAATTTCTCTGTCTAATGGTCACCTTTCAAGAGAAGCTATATATAGAAGAAAGCTTGAAGAAAAGTTGTTGATGTTAGTGCAAGAAAGATAACATATGAAGAATACCAACGTGAGAAGGGAATAAAAAGAAAAGTCTGTAATGCTCATATATCGTCTGAAGCTCAATATCTTCTAATAGAAAAATCTTAGTAAATACATAACAATTCATATTGTTTATATCCTCTCCTTGAGAGTTATCACATGTACTTATGATCTAAACACTATTTGTGTAGCAAATTTTGAAAAGAATTAAAGCACTTCTTTAGACGTGTTGTCTAGGGCGAAACTATGAGTGGTAAGACTACTTATTGTAAACCAAGAGTGGTTAAACTTGGTCTAGGCGTGTTGACTAAGGAATCAGGAATGGCTAGAATACTTGTTGTAAACCAGGAGTGGTGAATATACTCAGTGAGATTCTGAACCGGTAAAACTCATGTAATCTTGGAAAAGATTAGTGCAACCCCTTAAGAGTTCTTAAGGGGAACTAGATGTAACTTAGGATTGAGCGAACCAGCATAAAAACTATACTATAATGTTTTCCTTTCTGAAAAGCTTTTACAAAGTCATTTTGAAACATCATCGTCTGAACATATTCTTATTTACTCATCTTATGTAAACCAGTGTCTAAACCTTTAACAATTTTATATATTCTGTTTACAAATCATTAGACGTTGCTTTGTGAAAATATTTCAAAAATACTATTCACCCCCTTTTAATGTTTTCCTGTTTTTTCATTTACTTTTAGTATATGCATAGTGTTTCACTAACCTTTTGAGTAGAATTTTATAAGAATCAATTATTGAAAAACAATTTCGTATTCGTTGGCAAACGACTCAGGGCTAACTTAATCCTATCTAGTTTGTTAACTACTAACTTGAAAATATTGAAGTTACCTTATTAAGTAGTAGTAAATTGATAGCGTCAATGACAGCATATCAGGTACCATCTTGTGTGACAAGTTTCTCCCCCTCGTCGCTCTCTATAGTCATCCCAAATCCAGCAAGGCCTTCATTATTGACCTCATGTCCCTTGTTTGGAGAGCCTTCGCATCTTCTTCANAGATAACATATGAAGAATACCAACGTGAGAAGGGAATAAAAAGAAAAGTCTGTAATGCTCATATATCGTCTGAAGCTCAATATCTTCTAATAGAAAAATCTTAGTAAATACATAACAATTCATATTGTTTATATCCTCTCCTTGAGAGTTATCACATGTACTTATGATCTAAACACTATTTGTGTAGCAAATTTTGAAAAGAATTAAAGCACTTCTTTAGACGTGTTGTCTAGGGCGAAACTATGAGTGGTAAGACTACTTATTGTAAACCAAGAGTGGTTAAACTTGGTCTAGGCGTGTTGACTAAGGAATCAGGAATGGCTAGAATACTTGTTGTAAACCAGGAGTGGTGAATATACTCAGTGAGATTCTGAACCGGTAAAACTCATGTAATCTTGGAAAAGATTAGTGCAACCCCTTAAGAGTTCTTAAGGGGAACTAGATGTAACTTAGGATTGAGCGAACCAGCATAAAAACTATACTATAATGTTTTCCTTTCTGAAAAGCTTTTACAAAGTCATTTTGAAACATCATCGTCTGAACATATTCTTATTTACTCATCTTATGAAAACCAGCGTCTAAACCTATAACAATTTTATATATTCTGTTTACAAATCATTAGACGTTGCTTTGTGAAAATATTTCAAAAATACTATTCACCCCCTTTTAATGTTTTCCTGTTTTTTCATTTACTTTTAGTATATGCATAGTGTTTCACTAACCTTTTGAGTAGAATTTTATAAGAATCAATTATTGAAAAACAATTTCGTATTCGTTGGCAAACGACTCAGGGCTAACTTAATCCTATCTAGTTTGTTAACTACTAACTTGAAAATATTGAAGTTACCTTATTAAGTAGTAGTAAATTGATAGCGTCAATGACAGCATATCAGGTACCATCTTGTGTGACAAGTTTCTCCCCCTCGTCGCTCTCTATAGTCATCCCAAATCCAGCAAGGCCTTCATTATTGACCTCATGTCCCTTGTTTGGAGAGCCTTCGCATCTTCTTCAATCTCTTTCTTCATTTCTTCATTTCTTCATTTCAACTATGAGCTAATAATGATTTGTAAGCTTTTTTTGAAGTAAGACTACATCCATCGCTTTGAAAAAGATATACTTGATTCCTTATTTGCTTTAGTTATATTGCTTCTTTGTTACATACCTTTTACCTTAGTTAGGGACATAACACTAATGATTTGTACTATTTCACCACTGCATGAAAAAAATTCAAAAAATGGCAGATTAGTCGAGCAATCCGTCAGGCCGCTAAATGGCATAACTAATTTTTAGGTTGTTTTCTATAGTCGGGTTGACTTGTCCTACCTGGTTTTGGCGACTAATAACGAGTTAGGCTAAAATGTCGGAAGAACTCCTTTCATCACCTTTAATTGAAGTTGCTATACCCACCAACCTCTACCCATTACTTCTTCGTGAGGCTCTGATGGCCTTCATGTTGGGTCTATCAAGTAGAAGGTTCACCGAGTAGACACAAACACCAATGAGACATGAGTCCAACCATATAAGGGATCGACATCACTCTCTACCAAAAACCTTAAGTCAATGGGTTAATGGGTCTTTCACCTTTATACAATGCTCTACTTGTTGGGTTATTAGGCTCCCTTCCTATGTGGAGAATAGGCCCAAATAATGTGGACCTTTATGTCTCACTAGGTTAAATAGAGATGGGTCAAATTAGTAGGGCACATTAGAGTCATTTGAAAAGTGGCAAAAGCCAAGAGAGAGAAAAAGAAAGAGAGAAAGCCTTTCCCGCATAACCCTAAACCTATGTTTTTGTCGCTGTGAAGTCGTTCACCATTGGATCAAGTTGATTTTTGGACAATGGGTTTCAGAAATATTGTTCTTCATTCTGACCGTTCATATCGTCAATAGGAGGTCTATATTGGGAGAAATTGGTCCCGCACCAGCAGCCTTGTTTTGGAGAATTTTCATGTTCTTTGTTCTCATTTGTAAGCATTTGTGCTTATTTAAATTGGCTTATTGAAAACATCATTTGGTGTTATTATTAAAGACTCTTTTGTATTCTATTATTGATCATAGTGGATTTTTCTATGGTCTAGACGACTCGTGGTTTTTACCCTTGCATTGAGGGGTTTTCCACGTTAAAAATTGTTGGTGTCTCTTTGTGCTTTTGGATTATATTTTTGTTCTATTTGTTTGATGCTCCTCGCAGATTATCGCAAGAA